TCTTTTAGTTGTAATTTTGAAGTGGTTGTGCAAGGCAGCATTCTGCGGTGTTTACCTATGCCACCATCTTGGTTCTGCATCCGATTTTTTTCTTGTGAAAGTTTATTCCAGTTATACAAATCCTCTTGGGCCCACAGAGCCAAGCCCTAACCACCCGGAGGATATCAGACTGTGAGGTTCACAGAATCCACACAAAATGGAAAATTAGCCCAAAACAGTTTGCTTCCACAGACTATGTAGAGTTGCATATTTGGTGTTACAACATGCATTTGTGCTTGCATAGATGCATTCTCATTTCTTTGGGGCTACGTATTTTTCAATGTATTCAGGAAATGAGGCTCAATGACATGAAGTGACTTTACTTGCCCATGGTCACCTAAGTTACTCCTTCATATGAAGTCCTTCACAGGCTTTCTAGCTTTTCCAACTCTCAATTGTCAAAGTGTCCCCTCAGGAGTTCGACAGGGAGACCAGGAGTTCAATCACTTGCCATGATGTGCGCTGACCACTATGGGGCAGCACGGAACAAAGGTAAGGCCCCAGCCAGCAGCTGGCAGCTGGGGAAGGGAGGCCCTGGCCTGCATCCAGAAGGCCCCGATCAGTCCTGATCGCTGGCCAGGCCTAGGTGCCCTACCTGCGCATGAATTTCATGCACTGGGCCTCTAGTATAATAATAATAATAGATAACATTTATTTAGTGGTAAGAAGCTATTTATTTAGTGGGTCAAGCAAACAGACCCCAAAATGGCCTTTAATGACACCCCTCCCATTTCCTGGTGGTTATTGCCTTGTATAAGCCCCTTCTCTGGAGTGTGGGCCAGCCCGCTGACTTCTAACCTGTACAATGTGGTAATCGTGATGAGAAGCCACTTCAGTGATTAGGCTACATCTGTCTTGATAGCATATCTCTTTCACTGGCTTTGATGAAGGAAGCTGTTATGATGGGAAGGCCAACACTGGCAAGGAACTCAGGCAGCCTCTGGCCAACAGCCAGCAAGGCACTGGATTCTTCCAGCAAACATGTAAGTGAGCTTGGGAGTGAATCCTTCCAGGTTATGTCTTGAGATGACACCTTAGCTCTGGCTGACACTTTGACTGCAGCCTTGTGAGACCCTGAAGCAGAGGACCCTGATAAGCAGGGCCCAGATTTCAGACCCACAGAGACTGAGGATTTAATAAATACATGTTGTTTCAAGCTGTTATGGTTTGGGATAATTTTTTAGGCAGCAATATATGTGATACAGCCAGACACTATGCTAAGAATTAGAGGGGTACACACACACACACACACACACACCAGTTATGGTTACATGGCTGGCAACTACCAGAGCTGAGATTTGAACTCAGTTCTGTCTGATTTCTAAACCTCTGCTCTTAAAAGCAGTAAATCATCTTGCAAGAAAGCCCTTTGAAAGATAGCTCTAGCTCTAGCCAATCTTTCAGTTGAGACTTTAGCTCTCATTTGCAACCTCCTATTTTATGGTTTGGAACATCTCACATGCTAGTCCCTGTACCTATGATGTTTTACCTAATCAATCTCTCTCATCGAGTCAACACTCATCGTAATTCTTGAATCAAAACCTTTCTCCTTCATGAAGCTTTTCTGGAAACCACAATCTGACTTATAAGCCTCTTCTCCTTGTTCCATGTGCCCCATCATCGTGTCTCCAATCACACAAATCTCTATCACCCCTGATCGTCACATGTGCTCCTCACCACCCCCACTGCACTTTGAGGGCAGGGGCTTTGTCTTATTCGTGTCTGTGGCAAGGCCTGCCTGGCTCACTGGAAGAAGCTTAAAGAAATGTTTGTTGAATGAGTAAAGGCAAACAAGCCAACCTGGGGCTAGGATTTCTGTCTGCTGGCTCAATAAAACATTCTTTCCCCTACCCCACCTTTCCTGCTAACCTGACCTGAGTGTTCTAATCCTCTAGCCCAGGCTGCCTAGCAGCTCACCTACCATTGCTCTCCATTCTTTCATTCATTCATTTAACAACTATTTCCTGCAGGTTTACCATGACAGACATAACTCTGCAAGAAATAACCGAATACAAGATGTGACCCCTAACCTTAAGGAGCTCATGACTGGGGCAGGGAGCAATGTTACAATATAGCATGGATTTAGCTAAGCAGGAAAAAGGGGGCCCGTGAACCAAGAAGATGTTACTAGTTTTGAATCTGATGCCGAGTACAAAGTAGATCCAACAGGGAAGAGGCTGGAATGGATCCCTGTTGGCATAAAGTGGCTGAATTCTCCTTGAAATGTGAGGCTTTGGACCGCTGTGCTTAAGCAGACATTCCTTTGAGCCCTTATTCTAATATTTTTAAAAGACTCTATGGCATCAAAAGAGTGGTTTCTCCTTTAAAATGTCACCTTGTGTCTCTGGGGAAAGAAAAAATTTGTCATAGCTATTTCACCGGTCAGAGTAAATACTGAAGAAATGCTTCTCTTGTATCCACAGTTCCAGGGTAGAATTTCCGTGACCGGCCTGCCTGGCTAAAAAGGCAGAGGCCCCTTTCAGGCCGAAGGTAAGAGAGGACTTCAATAGTCTTCACAGTGGATCCGAGGATTGCTTGAGAGGTAAGATTATTTTAGTTGCAGGATTTTTATCCCAAGCCAGATAGTACCAGACACCTTGCCAGTAGACCTCAGCAAGAGTCTCCACAGTTGTATTTTTTGTGTGGTTATATTTCTGTAACAAATACCAAGCCTTCCAGTATGATGATAGTGCTTGTTATTTTAATCAAGAGAATGAAAACACATTTACTCCACAGCGTGGCAAATAGATGTGGGCATTAAAGAGCCAGTTCTATGTATAGCACTGACTGGGGTGTATACATGTTTGTACTGGAGGCAGGTTTGGCAGAAAAGTTTCTGCTTTTTGTTGCACACAGTGATTCTTTGCATAACTTTATTATCCTTTAAATTCCACGGTGGGTGTGTGAGTATGTAGAAAAATTAACCCGTCTCCACAAACTTGGGCTAAAGTGAAATTATGTTAGGAGGATGAAAAGCCATTCACTCCTCAGAAATTGTGAGAATGTAGGGCATCCTCCTACACCCCACCTACATTCTAATGACCTCCAAATATATCCCAAGCCCTAAGCCTTCACTTGAGTTTTTAATTTATTTCCAACTCCCTGAATATCTCCTTGGGATGACACCTCACACCCACATCCAGGAGAACTACATGCACTAAGAATTTCAATTAATGGAAACAATATCCACTCCTTCCTTATTACCTCCTTCTCCCTGACAGAAATCTACTCAAGAAGTAAGAAGATGATTGCTTTCTCAGCGTCTCTTGCAGCTACAGGTAACCATCTAGCATAGTCCTTACCTAACCACCAGCGCTCTGCCAAAAGGTTGGTGGTCTCTGGGAGGCCTTTTACATTGGGGATTAAAGGGAATAGTTTCATTTTTCACCATCCTTGCTGCCTTAAACGTGGATGTGATAGTTTAAGTTCAGACAGGCACCTCCTGACCAGGAGGTGACAACTGTGAGGACCAAAGCATGGCAAAGCAAAAAGAGAAAGGAGATGAGTGCCTGAGCCAGTGAATAACTGCTCACCTCCAGACTTCTGCTTATGTGAGAAAACCCCCTATTGGCTTCAGCCCCTGTTCTACACAACAGTACTCAATTCTAATTGAGACTTTGCTAAGTCCTTTCTCTACATGTATCTAAAGCACAAATCCAACCATCCCATGTTCTTTTGGTAGCTCTCCCTCACCTTTAGGGTGAAACTTATGCTGCCCATGACCTTGAGAATGTGAGCCAACCCTTGAGGGCAGGACCATATCTTTTTCTTTCTAAATCTCATGGGTCTGGCACAGTACCTGGGACAGTCTTCTGGGCTGTTTAATGAACCATTGTGGATTTGAATTGGGGAAAGTGTTATAATGAAATCTTTCCTAACTCCTGTAGTTTTTCCTGAATAATCTACTTCCTGATTCTTCACATATTTGTTATATTCTGGATTGTTTCTGGAAAACAGAAATTAAATGGTGTGGCTTTTATGTCGGTAGATAAGATACCTTTCCTGCTCATCATATTTGGAGGAGTTATTACTAACGGCATTATTTTCCTCTAGAAAGAATAGTGTAGACAGGTCTGTATTGCTCGCTACTCTTCTAACTGCTACAGCAAGCACAGGCTGAAGCGCCAAGTCAGTACTGAATTATATAACATCAGTCTCCATCTTCTTCACAAAGACTTCTCTCCCCACACAGACTCCAAGTTCCTCAAAGGTTCTACTTTTCACTTCCTTTAAGACTCCTGCAGCTATCTAACACAATGCTGAATAAATAAAGGCTGCTCAATTTCTATTGAATTGAATGACTGCCCAAGAGTGACCTCAGTATGTGCTATCTCCATTGGGTAGTGGCTGTGGCTGTGTTTCCAGAGGCTGTTGTCTTTGGCTCCCTCTGTACTTCTTTCCTAGACATCCTGTGCTTTTTACCACATTGAGTCACCTTGTTTCTGTTGCAAGTAACCTGCTGGCGACTGTCACTTCCTCTGGAAGTTAGTGCATGAATCAGAACAATGCTAATAAAGCCAACAACAATAATAGCAAGCCTTAATTAAACCTTTATAATGTACCAGCTTCTAGTTAAAAACTGTTATGTGTATTATTTCATTAATCTATTGAGCATGTCCAGGTTGTTGATGAAGAAACTGAGCTGAGAGGGATAAAGCAACTTCATCAAGAATTCAGGCAATCTGACTCCAGGACCCAAGCTTTAACCTCGTAAGACTGTGTATCTGATTCTCTCATGGACCAGCCACATTGCTCAGTTACATGATTGTAGACTATACCTCTAATTGTGCAAGACTGATGAAGATAATTAGTTCTAATACTCCCTATCATTTGTAAAGTTGGAATTGTGTTATATTTTTTGAGCACCAACTCATGCATGCTTGAAAATTATAAATATCTAAACTTGGTAAAGAAAACATGACCCTTAAGGAGTTTGCAATCTAGATTTGGAGATAATAATAGCTATAATTTATTATGCAGTAGACACTGTAATATATTATTTGTAATCTTTAAAACAATACTACAAGATAAGGAAAATGAGATTACAAGATAAGGAAATTGAGATTCTGAGAATTTTACTGACATGCTCAGGCTACAAGAGTTATTAGTAGCTGAGTTAGGAGCTGATGGACCCAAGGGCCACATCAAATATAAATAGAGTTGTGTTTCATGCATCTGTTGACAGGAACCTGGTTCATAAGCCATCCGGAATGACTGTGAGCACCAAAATGAGCCAGAAATCCTCCAAACATGAACATCTGAAATAACAACAAACAAACAAATGAAGAAAAGACAGAAATGTGAAGGCTACAAAATCTCCTCAGTCTTTGATTCCATTAATATATTGATAGATCACTAAGCAGCAGTATGACCATATCAGACACTACCCATGTTTCTTCATCTTGTAAAACTGCTACCAAGATAAGCACGGGTACGAACAAGCTCTCAAATTCTAAATGATGTAAAGTAGGCTATGGGACTATGTCCCATCCTGCCCCTCCCCTCCCCCTTTTTATCTTAGTAGGGACATGTAAACTGATAAAGACACTCCATGAATTGGCTAGGGTGCATTTCTTTCTTTCCTTTCCTTTCCTTTCCTTCCTTTCTTTCTTTTTTTCTTTCTCCCTTCCTTCCTTCCTTCCTTCCTTCCTTCCTTCCTTCCTTCCTTCCTTCCTTCCTTCCTTCCTTCCTCCCTTTCTAATCGTTATTGATTTCTGAGAGGAAGGGAGAGGGAGAGAGAGATAGAAACATCAGTGATGAGAGAGAATCATTGATTGGCTGCCTCCTGCATGCCCCCTACTGGGGATCGAGCCCACAACCTGGACATGTGCCCTTGACCAGAATCCAACCCTGGACCCTTCAGTCCACAGACCAACACTCTATCCACTGAGCCAAACTGGCTAGGGCTGGCTAAGCTGCATTTCCACGGCAAATATAAAGAGGAAAAAGAGCTCCCCCCCCCCCTCCTTAACACTGATGGCATAGTTTTATTAGCAAAAAACTGGAGCAGACCTCAGAAACAGCTCCATCTCTGGTTGAGCCCTAAGACAGGTGGACCGCAAGGGTAGCCAGTGAAAGGACCACGTTAGCATAGGATCACAATAAATGAGTATCTCTAATAAGTCAGCTTATTTGGACTTTAATTTTTCAGCTAGCTTATGCTGGCAAGGACCACTGGGATATGGTCTTACTCCAAAGCAGATGCTCTACAGCTGTGGTTCTCAATAAGAGCTGCCCATCAAATCACCTGAGAAAATTTGAAACTCTCAAAACAAAACCCTTGGCACCAGACTTAGGTATCAGTATATTTTAAAGTTCTCAAGATGATTCAAGGTATAGCCATGATTAAAACCCACTGCTCTATAGGCACCTTAAAAATAGCTTATGCTGGTCACATTGACCTGTTTATAAGCGATTGATTATTTGAACCCAATCTCAATATTTTTTTCAAAATAAAATTATCTCTTCTAGAGCTTGTGGTACAGAGCACTAAGGTTTAAACAAACCCTTTAAAAGTCTGAGGAGATTCAATATATTTGGGGGGACAAAAAATGGCCTGACCTCTGTGGCCACTTCTATGAGAAAGTAGAATGATTTCTAGCCTGGGAAAGAATAAAGGAAGGCTTCTAAATTTCCCAATCGCATGTCAACTGTGCTAATGTGCATCTATGGCCTTCGAAGCTTTCTTCGATGAGCCACGCTGCATACTGCTGTGTCAGGTACCAGGCAGAGAATTTAATCAGGAATTAATCAAAATCCAGCCCTCAGCAATAGTTTCTTAGATATAGCTGATGTTTAAAACACAGCCTAGAGGACACGTTCTCTATATTCCATCCCTATATTAAGTTAAATCATCAGAAATAAATGTACGTGGATTATTTCATCTTACTGCCTCCAAAAAATACCTTGACTAAATTAATATTTAATTTATACTTTTAACTTTTATAGAAGATCTTTATAAGTCAACTTGGTATACAATTCTGTATCTTTCCATATAACTCTATTCAATAATATCTATTTTATTGTGTTTTCTCATATAAAGATACAAGAAAAATGGCTCCTAAAATTTGGGGCCGGGAAAAAGTAAGTGTCTCTAGCCCAACCTGAGTGTGTCTTTAATTAGACACCGAGAGACTGTACAGCTCCACAGAGATCATGTAGTGCCAGCCACAGAGCCCAAGAGTCAAATCCAGAGCTTATTTCATTTTAGGAAAGCATTTTAATTAGATGTCAATTCTCCAAGTTCATTGTGCCGGACACAGAATGTGTCACTTTTCACACCTACTCAGGCATCCTCCTGCCTCCCATTGCTATTCAACTACACCGTTTCCACAGACACTGGAGCTAGAAACCCCAGTCACCTCTATTTGACTTCCCACTTTCCCATCTCATTGATATTCAATTGCTGGACAAATGCCATCGACCATAAATACACAAAGATCAAGAATTTGTCTGACTGGCAAGTGTTCCCAGCCCCTGGTGCAATACCTGACACATGGCAAATATTCAATAAACATTTATTGAACAAATTAAAAAGTTCAAAAGATTTATTTCTTTATCTCCTAGTCTCTTTAGCCTTTTGGCTCCTTCCCATCCTCCCTGCCATCACTCAAGTGTAGGCTCTTACCACCTTTCCTTGTTATTAAATAACACGCTAATCTATTCTGACCTCAGGCCATATGTTCCAGCCCATCTGAGTTCAGCTGATGCTAAATAAGATTTTAAAAATACTTGAACATGCTCCTTTCTTGCTCAAATTCTTCCTTGACCTAGCATTCAAGGTGTTTGTTATTCTTACGTCTGGTTCCAATAACTCCATGAGTAAAGAGAAGTGGGATAAGAAGCCAGACCATGGCAGCTGTGAAGAAAGACACTGATTAGAACTAAGGACAGGATCAGGATGGGGACAAACAGCCTATGTACTTTTTAGGTTGTGGGGATGAAAGAGGTGATATACATGAAAGCAGGTTACATTGGTAAAGCGCCACAGACAGCTATGTTTTATTTGTCAGTACTAGATGTTCCTGAAGATAAACCTGAGTCATCGTGAAAAGTGCCAAGTATTTCAGGGCATCAGAAGAATGAATATCTAGGTCATAACGATCCTTACATCTGCAGAGGGGTTTGTGGCTTACAATGCATGACTTCCCATGCATTATCTCACACAGCTCATTCCAGTATCTCTGGGAGATAAGCATTCACATCCACATGGGGAGACCAAACCTCGGAGAGGTTGGGTGACATGCTCAAAGTCACCCAGCTACTAAGAGGCAGTATGTGCCTAATGTAATTTGCACCGTGGAATTTGTTTGTGGGAACATGCTTTATTTCAGTGTTATCCTGAACTAAAACCCTAGACTTTTGATGTCAAGTCTGGTGCCTTAGTCGCTCCACCAACAGCTGTCCCTTCTCCCCAGCACCATGCATTGTTCTTCGTAGTTCTGGAGCATATCATTCACTTTATTCTACGTGGAGGAGTAGCAGCAGCCACAGCGGGAGTGGTAATATATAATATTTATCAAATGTTTCATGATCCAGATAGCATGCATTATTTCATTAACTCCTCATAGCAACTCTTTGAGGTGAATAATATTGTTATCTCTTTTCACATCTGATGAACTGAAGCCCAGAGAAAGAAATTCAGCTAAGGATACACAGGCACCAAATAGTGAGGCTGAAATTTGAACGTGGCAGGCTGACTCAAAAGCCTGAGTATTGAACATCATTATGCGATATGCCCTAAAACTTTAGAAACATCCCCATCTAAATGGTCCTCCTTTAATAGTGTCACTGGTCCCCTTGCCACTTCTTTCATTTTTATTCTGTATGTTGAATGAGTAGTGTACTGATAAACAGGTGAGCTTAATGATTCAGGAAGATCCTGAGCATTCTGTATACTTGAGCTCCATTACTGATTTAATCTTGGCGGTCATACATTTCCTCCCTTTATTTTATAGACGTGTGGCCTTTCAGAACTGGAAGAGGCCTGAGAAATCCTGAAATCCAATCCCCTGGTTTAGAGAGTATTTTGCTAAGTGAAATAAGCCAGTCAGAGAAAGACAAGTATCACATGATCTCACTCATATGTAGAATCTAGTGAACAAAATAAACTGACGAACAAAATAGATCTAGAGACATAGAAGCATGGAACAGACTGTCAAATCTCAGAGGGAAGGCTGGGTGGGTTGGTGGGTGGGTGGGAAACGATCCACCCAATGACCTTGCATGCATATATGCATAACCCATGGGCACAGACATTAAGGTGGTGAAGGCCTGGGGTTGGGTGGCGGAGGCAGGCTATAAGGGGTCAATGGGAGAAAAAAGGGGACATATGTAATACTTTCAACAATAAAGATTAAAATAAAAAAGAATCCTGAGCATTCTGTGTATTTGAGCTCCATTACTTGATTTTATCTAGTTGGGCTTCATACATTTCCCCCTTGTTTTATAGACTCTTGGCCTTTCAGAACTGGAAGGGGCCTGAGAAATCCTGTAATCTAATCCCTGGCTTTAATGTGACAAATCCTGACTCAGGTAGATTCAGTCACACGTTCAAGCGTCACAGCACCAGAATCAAGTCTCCAAGTTCCCCGGCTAGGGACCATTGGACCAAAGTCCCAGGCCTTTCTGTCACACGTCCTGCCAGGGATAAACAGATGATGAGAGGAAGCCCCTCTCTCAGATCAGGTCAAAGCACTAGTGATGCTCTTTCCTGAGCTTCCTGGCTGCAGTATGATCTCTTCAAAGACAAAGCATCTCAGAAGGGCTTAACAGACCCTCACTCCCTGGACTTAGATGTGGCAGCATTAACCTGATTGTTTGGGTTAAAAAGACCTTTGAGCCCCCACTTGAAGCATCTGGCAGCACAGTCACAATAACAGACAGAATCAAATAAGCATCAAGCAGGCTGCCCGGTGTTATTTTCTCACAGGGGTGTGAGTTGGGAGGAGGTATTCTATTACAAACAGGGAAAGAAAATGACCAACAGGCCATTGGAGGAACTTCCTCCAGCTTAGACTCCTGGGCACGCTATTATTGTGAAGTGCTCACTTCACGACGGTCAGCTGGTGCATCATAGCCGTTACTCAGGGCACCACTTTATAGACTTATTTATAAGGAACAATCTGTTTCAGCCTCTTCTATTTACAAACCCAAGTCGGTTAGCCTGACTCATTAGTAACCCATGTGAATAGGGTGGGCCTCATGGCTAAGCCAAGCTGGAAAGTGGACATGACCAAGAGGAGCTCAGTCTTCTGGC